TAATTTAGATCTTGAACGAAGCATCTTTTTATTTATGCATAAACTATACAACTTTCACTTTAGTTTTTGAATTTTGAGTATTTTGTTCGTCTTCAATTTGGATTATATCGTTGAAGTTTAGATTACATGCTTCTATAAAATTGTGTATTGGGATAATTTTTGAAAAGAAGTTCTTTAATTATATAATCAGTTGGGGAAGAATTTCTAATTTATATTATAGCTTCTTTAAGTAATTTGAGATGACTAAAAAGTACTTTTAAAATTTTTTGAGATTGGTAATAAATAAACAATATATAAAAAAATATAGCTTGGTTTAAAAACTTTTTTTTAAAGAAATTTCTTAGAGATAATTATCCAAAAATTAACTTTAAAGTATCATTCTTGTTGTTTAAGACGTGCATGAAGAATAATTATACGGAAAAAAGACTGTGTTAAACTAAAAGGTATACTGAACTCACTCCGTTCATTTGTCATATTTTTTCTTTTTTTCCTTAACTTAATATAATTAAATATTGGGCTTGAGGATTCAAACCTCCGACCTTTTCGTCAATATATAGTTATATTATAAATGCAAAACAATAACATGATACGGTAGTTATTTAAATTGTCCCATTTGATTTCTCTTAGATTAAAAAAAGAAAAAAATCCCATGTAATGTATGCTCTTTAATAATTCTCCCAATTGTTTGGTCACATATGTAATATGATGGGAGGTAAAATTTTGCTCTAATTATATGAAAATTTTTGGGCTAATCCTTGTCTGTCGCATCATGTTAATTTCGCCGAATTATTTAAAATGGCGACATGTTAATTTCGTAGAATTATTTAAAATAGACGTACCATGTCAACATATAATAACAATGATATAAGACACCTATAACCATTTTAAAGTTAAAATTTCATTTCCACATCATATTTTATTGAATTAATTGAAAAAAATATAGTCAACTTGAACATAGCTTACGGATAATTGAGATCTACTCCTTTTTTTGAGGTCGGAAATTTGATCCCCATATTTTTAAATAGTTGTACTAAAAAAACTAATTGAAAAAATATAAATATAATTTATATTTTGTCTTACATTTCCTTTTAAGTTTGAGAAGTCATATTTTGTCTTACCGTTTGATTAAGTTAAAAGGGTCTTAAATAACTATCGTTGTAGAAACAAACACAAACAAAAAAACAAAAACAAAACAAAAAAAAAACAAAATTTCTTAAATAACTATATCTTCAATCATCTTTTTTTTCAAGTAATTAAAAAAAACTACTTTTTATCTTTTTGAATAAAAAATTATTTCTACAGAGAATTTTAAAATAGTTTTTGAATCATTAAAATGGACCTTTTAAGAAATCTTTTGATCCATTTTTGTCTCTTGTGGCCGAATTTTGAAGAAATAGTTACATCAGTTTTTGTTTGCTTTTTAATCTGAGCTGCATTTTAAAAAGTAAACTAATTCTAAATTTTGAGAGTTGTATCTACGGTTAAAAAATGTCTGAGTCTCTGACCATTAAATAATGTTACAACTCTAAAATTCAAAAAAATCTAACAAATTCTCAAACTCTTAATTTTGTATTTAATAATTTATAGGTTTTGAAAATTTTCTAATCAGACAGGAATATCTATTACACCTATTAAATACATATTGATCTGTTAAAAAAAAATACATATTGAATACTCAAGCCTTGTCGTGAGATAAAATACAGATCTTGTTTGATAATCTTTTAGATACAAAATAATAAAAATGTCTTGAGAAAAAAAAGATGCAATATATATAAAAACTACCTCTACATTTGTATTTGTACTTTATTTTGTTTTTCGTTTTTCTTTACAGAAGTTTTTTCATTTAAAAAAAATGTAAGCTAAATTTTAGAAATTAATAAGAATATAATAATAATAGTTTTCACACACATATATATATTATCCTTTTTAGGGACAGCCTCTAAATGAAGATCAACTTTTTTTTATATACAATTTTTTTGACAACTCTTCTCAACTCCATTCTTCCTTCATCCCTCTTGCAAGATTTTAATTAAATAATCTAATTTTAAAACTATTATTATTATTATTATTATTATTATTATTATTATTATTATTATTATCAACTTATTTTTTTTTTCAAATGCATGGTGACCCAAAAGGATAGCCTTTTCACACCAATAGAAGTTTAAATTGTAATAAATAAATGTATTGCCATTGAAAAAGCATTAAAATCGACAAATTAAAATAAGAGTTGAATGTTGACTACAAAGCCAAGTCCAGCTATATAGCCAAATTAGTATAGCCATCTATTTCCCATTTTATTCACCTCCTGAAAATGACTGTTCAACAAAAAAAAAAACTCATTTTTTCTAGGTCAAATTTTATTTTATTTTCTATATATATATTTTATGTATTGAACTTAATTCTATACATAAATTTGTTTTAATGTTCATTCCCATAGATGTTTATGAGTAAACATTTGGAGTAGCACTGATGTGAATTTGTTTCCTTAAAATCTTTTTTATACTTCAAATTATTTAGGTACTAAACATAGTTTAGTGCTTAAGACACACATATACATTAGGGTTGAAGATTCGATCTGTTATTTTATTTATTGAGTTAAATATGTAGGGTGAGGATTCAAAACTCATACGTTTTGGTAGGTAAGATTCCGTGCATAATTTTTTTAGTACAACATGTGGGGTGAGAGATTGAACTCACGACCTGTTGATTGGAAATATATGTCAATTACCACTAAACCCCTTTGACAAACATAATTTTAGACTAGTTAATATACTTATTATTAAAATATAAAAATTAAAATGAAATAGCCGTGAAAATTCAAAAAATAAATTAGAATTGAATTAATCTCTCTCTTTTTTTTCCACGTCAACTTGCTCTCTCATAAATATTATTTGAAGAAAAGAAAAAGATACATACGATTAAGATATGTGGTGTTGATTAATTAAATTAAAAGACAATGATGGGGTTGGTTAAATTTACAACAACCATAAGAAAAAGTAAACAGATCAAGAATTACACGTTTCTTTAAACCCCGCCGACGGATCCCTCCTGCACGTGGTTGATCACGTGCCACAAAGTACCACAGACATGTACCTAAACTTTGGACTTTTGTTAAATACAAGGTTTTGAATTCTAATTGTAGGGAACTATTGATAAAATATGACGAATATTTATGAAAAAATTAAAATAAATTATAACAATTTTAACTAACCAATAAGAATTTCATCAATTTTAAATAATTTTAAATTATTAATAGTAATATTATATCTATATTAGTGATATATATATATATATATTATATTTTGTCATAAAAAATTAATAATATTAATATTGCATCGATATATTAGTGATATTTTGTTGATATATATATATATATATTACTTTATCATCAAAATGTTAATTGCCTCGTATGTCAAGGTAGATATTATAGACATATAGAAATATATATATACAAAACATGTGGACCACAATAATATTTGGTATGGATTATACTTTACAAAGTTTGACAACGTGTTTATTTCCGTATTAAGTTTCTAATTCTTAAGGTTTGAAAAAATATATATATAATTGTTTGGAAATCGTTCTTTATTTCTCATTTACGGTTTGAGAAAGGTAGAACGATGGCTTAAAATTGTATAGAAGCCTTGAAAACGGTGTAAAATTTGATATTTTGAAATAAAGATTTATTGATTTAAAAAGTTTTATATAAGTTCAAATTATATAGTGTGTTACGAAACAAATATTTTATAAATGTACTGACTTTTACAAACTATAAATTTACAAACAAATTCTAAGTTACAAAAATCAAACACATGTTGCGTAATCCTAAATTTCTTAATCTCAAAGTTAACAAATTTAGATAATTATTAATCTAATATCCTCAAAATATTTGGGTACACAGCTTGAGAATAAAAGTATGATGTATGCGGTACAGTTTTTTAACAAATATTTTTTTGGAATCAAATGTAAAATAATCAATATTTCTTTTGTTCTATATATATTAATTAACTTTTCTCAAAGAAATACTTAGAATAATTTATAAATTTAATGTAGTTTCTTTTAGCCATTAATTCATATTATTTCAGGTACTTATGGCTATTTAATTAAATTATTAAATTATTTTTAGTTAATTAATATATCAAACCTATTGAAAATTAGTATAACTCAAGAAATATGTGAACATATCTCAAGAAAAAAAAACAGGAAACATGTGAAGAAAATATCAAATACATTTATGATTTTAGCTGATTTTCCTAGACTTAAAAAAAGACTAAAATTTAGAAACAAAAATTCACAACATATATATTCTTTAAACAAAATTAATTAAAACTAGAGAACTAAAGAAGAAACATATTAGTATATATTTTTATTTCATTACAAACAATATATTAGAAAAACTAATTACAAAAGTAGAAGTATATATCAACAAATATTATATAGGAAGTAGTTTTTTTTTGTAGATAAAAAGAAAAAAGAAGCTACTTAAATCAAATGCACATTATAGGAAAAGAATTATAATATATGTACTCTAACTTATGTTTTGGGTTTAATATGGTCAAGAGTTTCAAACTTTCTACAACGCATTTTATTCACCAAATCATATTAATTAGTAATTGACATGTTGAAGGTTCCAATATTGTGGAATTTTTTAAACTTCATATTTACGAAAAATTGTAAACTGTTTACAAAGTCATAAATTTGATGTTTCATTTCTGGTTAAAATGAATATAACATAATATAAAAACTGGGTCACAAATAATTATAAGAGGAAAATTTCAAACCAAAGATTATGTTATAAATTAATTTAATTTTATAATCCAATCCAGATTTGAATAGTCCATATGGCAGACTCATTTTGTCAACATATTATGCTCTTTCCACGAAGGTTAGGTGTAATAATGAAAATAATATTTAATTTCTTGAACATGATTTGGTGGCCATGGAGGAGCAAATATGGAAGCTATATAAAGGGAGGGGAGGCATTGATTTTAAGGCAGAATCAAAATCTCATTAAGAAAAATGGGAAAATCTAGGTCTTCCATGGCCTATCTCATTGTCGCGGTTTTGGTGGCAACTCTGAGTTTGCCATCGGCGATCGCTACTGATTATGTCTACGCTTCTCCCCCGCCTTCTTATTATGCTTACAATTCACCTCCTCCTCCTGTCTACTATTCTCCGCCACCATCGAAGGTGAAGTATGAGTACAAATCTCCACCACCTCCGGTTTACTATTCTCCTCCACCACCGGTTTATCACTCTCCACGCCCTCCAGTTTATTATTCTCCTCCCCCAGCCAAAAAGTATGAGTATAAA